CGATGCTCCCTGCTCCGTGCTGCAAATCCAATCAGCAGCGGGGTTGGGGCTTCAGAGTATCATCAGCCCAAGAGCACTGAGAGCCACAGGGCCTCCTGCTGTGTGCCAGATCCTGTGGGAATTAAGCAGGGAGACGGTGCTAGCGTTTGCTGGGTTACTGTGGTAACTCCCTGAGCTCAGGGGATGATGTACTGGGGAAGTGGAACAGGAGGAGGGGACTGACTGTAAGACTCAGCACCATCACACACACTTTCTTATCTTTCTGCTCATCCCCATATCCTTCTGCTCATCCCTGTGTATCTCCAGCCTTCTCCATTTCTCCCCTGGCACAAGAAGACACCTGAGACACTGGTAACCCAGCTCCTGCGGTTGAAGCCTCAGCTGAAACCCAACCCGGCCATGCCTGAATCATTCATGGATTCAATCTATCATCCCATGGCAGGGACACCCCAGTGCATTGGGGCTGCTCCAGATCCTGGCTAAAGAAGCGAGCTCAAGCCAAGATTTAGATAAGAGGCTTGGGGCAGCTCAGCCTCCTGGGGAGCGCTAGCAGGGAAAGGCTTTGCTGTTGTATTTGGGGCTTTTATGTATGTTTTTGTGCTGGATGCAGGAGAGAAACCTGGTGCAGGGTGCTCAGGCCACACAGAGGAGCCTGAATCATCCCTCACAGCCCGTTTCTCTGCCCCAAACAGGCTCTTGGGAGCTTTGAAGCCATCTCGGGGCTGGTGCTGCAGCATTTCTGGGGGTTATTTTACAAAGGTGACAGGAGGATCCATTTTCTGGCCTTTGCTCTGCTCCAGGGTGCATCTTCCCCGAAGTGGTTTCTGGCCAGCTTACCCCATTTCTCTGTGCTCCTACTCTCTGCTAGCTACAGGGCAGGGTAATTAAATACATGAAAAACCAGCTGCTTCTCAATGAAGAGACATGCTCTCTGCAGCTGGGGGGTGCTGCCTGCTGGCCTTGCTGCTCTTCTGTTCCCAAGCCAAGGGAAAAAACCATCAGCAAAGCACGATGCAACTGTCCCCAGAGAGAGAAGAGGCACCAGGCCATGGAAGGGAGCATCTTGCTGATGCAGGAGGCTGCAGATGTTCAAGAAGGGCAGAGACAAATGTCTGCTTCATAGAACCATAGAATAGTTTGGATTGGGAGGGACATTAAAGCTCATCCAGTTCCAACCCCTGCCACGGGCAGGGACACCTTCCACTAGAGCAGGTTGCTCCAAGCCCCTGTGTCCAACCTGGCCTTGAACACTGCCAGGGATGGGGCAGCCACATTATTACGTATTTATTATTAGGAAATAAATCTTTTATTAATCTGCTTGTCCAGAGCTCCCACCATGGGGTTTTTGGTGTGAGAAGAGCGCAGGAGGACCTCAGCCTTGCGCCAAAACACATAAGAGACCAGTTACTGCCATGCTCTGCACCAGGATCACAGTGGAGGGTGTGAAGAGCCTCTATTAGAATCATAGAATAACTAGGTTGGAAAAGACCTTTAAGATATCAAGTCCAACTGAATCACATCCCAAAGCCTCACAGATGAGCTTAACTTCTCCCTCCTGAGCCTGTTCATTCTTCTTGTCCAGCAAATACAATTTCTCTGAATGTGGGGGGGAAAAAAAAGGCACTTTGGAGATTTTGGGACATTTTTGGCAGAAGACGGCCCTTTGGCACTGAGTTTGTTGCAACTCCTGTGGCAAAGCCACAAAGGTGATGTGCAAGCGGCTAGGCTCTTGGGCTGTGTGTGCTGGGGTTGGGTGCTGGGAGCAGCCACAGGAGGAGCTGGTGGCTCATGGCCGGGCTGGAACCATGACAGCTGAACAAGCAGAATTAATCTGCAGAGTTGCTGCTGCTGCTGGCAACTCTACCTTAGCAAAGTGTAAGCCAAAATTTGGCCAGGCATGAAGCATCTGCAGGTTCTCCACCTTGCACAGACTAAACCCACCTGGGTGTTGCTTGTAGGAAGTGTTTCTTTGGAGGCACAGGGCCCAGGACACGTGAGGAGGCAGGAGAGGTGTTGCCTGGGCAACGCAGCAATGGGAGATGCTGCAGCAGTGTGTCCTTGATAGGGAGCTCCTTGGAATGCAGTGTGTTGTGTCCGTGTCCTGCTCCTCCCTGGCTGCGGCAGCAGAGCAGAGCCATGTGTGACCAGCAGCCACAGCCACAGAGCTCTTTAAGCCTAGTTGCTGGTCTGTAGTATCTTGTCTGCCCATAGCATCATGCTCATGCTCTTGGAATCATAGAATAGTTTGGGTTTGAAGAGACGTTAAAGCTCATCCAGTCCCAACCCCCTGCCCCGGGCAGGGACACCTTCCACTAGAGCAGGTTGCTCCAAGCCCCTGTGTCCAACCTGG